GTCTAATTGTAAATATCTTTTCAACCAAATTAGTAATTATAATTATTTAAAATTTCTCGGCTAAAATGGAAGATAACTGATAACTAATACAGAAACAAGAACCATAGTATATCAGCGATATTACAAGACGATCGGTCGATGTTAGGAGTCCCAGTACGGAATAGACTTAGTTTTACAAACCTAAACATCTATGAAGAGCTTACTCTGAATACATATTAAAGCGTATTCGGTTCAGAGTTAAAAATATGGCTGAGAAGCCTATCATTACTAAAAAGCTCTTTGAGCTTGGACTTTGAGTCGCTTCACCATGAGCAGAGTTATGTGAAGGTATAGTATTTTAGATTGTCCAAAGCTCTTATAGTGCTAAAGATGTTAATGCAGCACTAATTTGTATCACTCCAAAGTACAAATCCTAGTCCCTGGAGGAATTTTACTGAGAAGTCAATCTTGAATATTTGTGACCAAATATTTTAATAGTGACCATTCTGTTCCCAGTTACACTGTCATCAGATCGTATTACCCTGATTTATAATCCCTCTAGTCTCGGAACGACTCTTCTGAGAGGATTATTTGATATCTCCTATAAATGCATGGATGCAATCATCAATATCAAAGAGGTCGCAGCTACCTCGACAGTGTTTATACAACTCTATGTATCTTCCTACTTATTATATTTTCTTAATACAGTAGGGAAAATGGATAAATCACCTTGATTTTTTGTCAACGACGACCATAATAGAAGCTAAAGGGCCTTCTATAGGTGCACTCTTATACAACAACATGATAGGGTAGTCAAGACAATATACAGAAGTAAGTGAAGCATTGCTTGAACTACCAGACTGACATTTGAGGTTTCCTCAGAGTATTACTGATTCTAGACATCTTTGACAGCACAGTAAATAGGTCTAGTTTAAAGGATCTCCTTAGATTAAGGATTGATAACCTCAATTCCCCTACATTGTGTAATCAAACTATGTCTAGTAAATTAACCATGATTACCACAATAGGGAATTTAACCATGAGGGGAATTGCCGGCCTCCTTCCTCTAGACTTGAGGGAAATTATAATAATTTGTCAGTAAGGATAAATATGGTGATTTTTGAGGGCTCAAGTCATCCTCTTTCCATAAACCTAGATTGTCCTTAGGGCTCAAGTCATCCTCTTCCTAAGGGCTCAAGTCATCCTTAGGGAATTTACTATCATATAGAGGGAATTATGCCTCCTCTAGAAGGATATCTATACGGTAGTCCAAAGAAACCGGGGACTTACTCGTATATTAGGTGGCTGAGTCACCGTATACATACAATAAATACCAGTGTTGTAGTATACAGACTTACCCATAAATTGACTGGGCCTACCTTTTGAACCTTTGTGTGCCTCTAATTAGGTCTTACCACCACTCGAAGATATACCTGCCTACTCTAAGGTCTTATGGCTATAGTAATGATATAGGGGAGTCAATGTGCTCACCCAAGTAAAGTTTCTCTGTGGGCTTTGGTTGTTTTTGCCACCATTCGAAAGTATGCCTTCCTTAACGAAGGTCTTAAGGTTTATTTAGAGTCTTTCTTCTTACCATGTACGAATACGGTTGACTCTGGTCAAATATAAGACAGCGGATGTGTCTATTTGTGCCTAACAATAGGACTTACCTGGAGCTAAAAAGCTTAGAGTAGCACATAGTCTACAACAATCTAGGATCTTTTGAATAGATGCCATCTCTGACAGCTTGTAAGGATAGCCATCTATCAATGCCTTCTGGGCTCTCCTATATCACTTAAAAATGTGTTACATGGGATTTGCCATATGCTGGAGACCATTGCTCGGTTTACTTAAGCAGTTAGTTGGTACTCTGTTGCTCGGCCATTGCTTAGATCTAGAAAGATACTAAGTCTTACATTAACTAGTCATTTGGAAGTACGGTTTCTGACGAAGTAGTAACCTCACTAGACTTTAGTTGAGTTTGGTTCGCATTTTGACTCTAAGTTAGCATTTCGTCGCCCCTATTGTCGCTTACCTATAAACTCTAATCCACATGCATAGGAGTGAGTTCCAAGAACTTTTATTCATCGATCCTGCCCATAGGTTTGAAGGTCTTAGTTGTTGTTTTGAGTCTATACTTGGCTATTGCCACATTACGCTGAAGTTATATCAGATTTTAGTCGGTAATGGCTTCATGTTCTACCCAGTCGCATGCTGAAAGGTCTTGACTGGGGTTTGAAGTCTTTTGTGAGAGTTATCCGGAGTACTGAGGTTGGCAGAGTCGAAGTTTAAGGGGTTTACGTCCCACAAGCTTGTCTTCCTTTGGCCGCGAAAGTCCCCACCCGTAGTTCTCTTGAAAGTCAAGGTCAGGTTTACAGTCTCCATTCACCTATGGATATACGACTTATACAGTTGCATACGCATCCTAGGTGGTCTCATCACAGTATAGCTCATTGTTGAGTGCCCTTATTTAAGCCCTTAGTTAGTCTGCCAGTGAAAGAAACTCAGACTCACCAAGAAGCATGGCGTCGTTCATAGATACGTTCTCAACTTTTTAAAATTTTAAATAATTATAATTACTAATTTGGTTGAAAAGATATTTACAATTAGACCAATAGGCTCTATTAATTAGACATCGGGAATTAAATTGACACCAGAAATTAAAATTACGCAGACTGGTTGTTTATAAACTGAGAATTAATCATTCTCAATTATAATATTAAATTTAAAAGTAGAGGAACTCTGCTCAAACTGCGATGGACCTAAAGACTAGATTCTTGTGCGATGGGGGACTTCCACTCGGTAAAGTATTGATCTGAGACGGTGGAAGGGTGCTCCAGAACCTCGATATCAAAGTTGCAAAGGAAAGTCACAGAGACTGAAACTCTGCCTGTAAATAGACAAGGTACTATGAATTCGAGTATGGGGTTAAAAAGCCTCTCGAATAAAAAGAATGAAATTTAAAAATATATAATATCTATCATTTTAATTCAACTAAAACTTACAAGGTTCAAAAGGTTTTGGGGTTTTGGGGTTTTGGGGAGATCGG